GGAACAGAGTTCACATTTAAAATCAGATAATCTTGACATAATGTGTTTGATCTGCTTTTTGCCTCTTAAAGATGCCTTTTATTTCAGTACAGGCAGGGGAGAGAGGTAGTGTCGTGTCTGAGGAGAGATTCTGGGGGCGGCAGAGTCAGGCAGGACACAGAAATGGCGCTATATTGCTACCTGGCCAGACTGTTCCACCACATGTATGGTGAGGGTGGAAGAATGAGGGGAACATGGATCTGGGAACGGCTGCTCAGCAGGAAGGTGTTTTTCCTCTTCCACCAGCCCCAGGCTCTTTCAGGGGTCAAACAGACCACGGCCTGAACCTCAGATCCTGCATACACGGCGGCTTCGGTCTAGTGCTTACCACACATGGGGACTAAAACCAGTGTGTACACAAGCAGGAGACCATGCAGGGGAGAAAAACAACAATGCGACCGGGCAGGCAGCAGCCAACGGCAATGGGCGGACAAGCAACTGATGGTGACCGACAAAGACAGTCCTTGATGTAGATTCCCAAACGGCTGCCTTCCCTCCCCCGGACACCTGCTTGGCGAGCCTCTTTTTCGTTGTACATGCACACCCCTTTGCACACTAACATGCAGACTGACGTAGCTGCGGACATGAGGCCTTTTGCAAAGACGCAGAGGTAAGGCCTATGGGGAGTGGGGGACTCTAGAGGCCAAGGAAAGGGATGGGAGAAAGGAGGGAACAGTGGGTGGGGCAGGTCCCCCAGGAGGTGAAGGCAATGAGAATTGGCATTATCGAGTGTCGGCGAGAGGAGAAACTGACCAGGCAAGATAAAGGTGTACATACATACTCGCCCCAGAAGGGCTCTCAGAAGGGCCGGGGAATGAATGAGGTGAAGTGTGGCGGCAGCTGCTAAGGATACCTGATGCAGGCGTGCTGAGAAGATCTTCCAGCGGAATCTACGGAAGGGCTCTTCGTACTTGTCCCAGTGGCGGCTGCCTTCTGGGGCTAATGTATTCCCCTCAAGCCGGTGCTGGCCTGTACGGAAACTAGCAAGGAGAGGATCTCTGCAGCTACTGGGGCTGCTACTGGGGCTGCTACCAGCGTCCATGCCCGTGGGCGGCGCCGCTGTCCGGGCTCTGGTGCTGAAGCAGAGGCAGCGGTGGGCTGCTGCGCATGCGTCAGTTCCAGAAGCCGGTCGCTGGGCGGGGCCGAAGAGGAATCCACCAATGGACGCAGGACGGGAAGAAGGTGGGGCAGACTGGGCCCAAGCTGCCGCAACATCGGGGGCTGGGGGGGGGGGGTCCCTGCCACCAAGGCTGGAGTCCGCTATACAGGCCTCGCTAATCAGTGTCCTTAGTAAAGTGGCCAAACCGCCCTTCTCGGGCGCGTCGTTCTTCTTACATGAAACCAGAAAGAACGAACGGTGCAAAAACCTTCACAACTTGAACCACGGGCTTCCACACTTCGTAACGCAGGAGGGGTAGAGAGGTCGGGTCTCATGAGTACCCCAGTTTCTCTCAGCATCTCTCGTGTCCTTATGCCTCCCCAGGGGTTATATATTTAGACGCCCGGGCTGGGTCTTTATTCCCTCTTTGGACCTGAGTCTGCCGCCACTTCCGCCTTAGCGCCTCTTCGCGATCTTTTTTAAAGTGCGCCACAGGGAGAAGGGGGAGCAAGAGGCAGAGAGACATGCCCAGCCCCTTTCTGGCAGTCACCACCACTCCCCACCTCTGCCTTACAGAGACCTGACGGCCACCCACTCCGGAGCACTTGCCAGCCCTCACCAGAGACCAGCTGTGAAGGAAAAGAACGTTGGGGTGCTGGTCATAGGGCAGGCCTGGCTGGAGGACTGAGCAGAATTATGGTGGATAGCAGATGTATGAGAAGCCTGAGTACAGCAGAGTGGAACGAATCCTGGGTAGATTTGGATAGGCAAAGACTGAAAGCGAGGGACGGAGAGTCAGACAAAAGAGGTTTGAATGGAATATATCCCTCAAGTGTGTCCAAGTGTTGGTCTAGGCAAGGCATGGGTCAAGGGTATGGCCTGAGCAGATCTAGGGGTTTACCAAGTGCTTCAAGTGACTTACAGATGGCTGGAGAGATTCAGGGTGGTGCTAAATTGGCACCAGGGGGTCAGGGTGTGGCTGGGCCTATGAGATGGCTCCTACCAGCTCCAATCTGCCTGTTTGTAGCAGAAAAGGGGCAGGGAAGGGTGCAGCAAAGTCAGAAGTTTCTCTTCCGAATGGGCTTAAGGAGAAAAAAGAGCAGGGGCTGATGCTGTCTCTCGGAAGGCTTTGAAATCAAGAAGGTATGAAAGACAGCAGAAACAAGTCTCACCTGGGGCGGTAGTCAGGAGACTGCAAAAAATGACGTGGTGGAGGGGAGCAGAGAAAAATGTATAGCTCCATAAGATAAAATAAGATAAGATAAAATAATAAAATAAAATAAATAAAAAAGGAGGTCAGGAGTTCAGGGTGTTTTTAGGAAATGGTGAGAACGTTTGCAGACTGACAGGAGCAGCCAGACAGGAATGGAAGGACAGACAGTAGGGCGCTGTCCCTCGGATCAGTAGTCTTAAGCAGCCCTGTGTTGTGGTTACTATCAAGTCAAGATTTTGGGAATGCCAAGATGGACATCCATTTTCACAACAAGGCTATCTAGAAAAAACTAGACCCCGAGTACCAGGTTGGACATGAAGAAAGACAACCTCTGAGGAGCACAAACATGGCCTCCAGGAGGCTACTTATTTGGAAGAGAAAATTCTGGGTAAGGGAGCTGGGTCAGCTGGGGGTTCTGTGTAGTCTCCTCATCTTGTGTCCTCTTGTCTTCGCATTTCTCAGTGATGTGGACCATGGTGATGGTGAGGACCAGGGTGCCAGGGGCCATGGTGATGGTGAGGACCAGGGTGCCCAGGGCAATGGTGATGGTGAGGACCAGGATGCCAAGGACCATGGTGACGGTGAGGACCATGGTGCCAGGGGCCATGGTGATGGTGAGGACCAGGGTGCCCGGGGCCATGGTGATGGTGAGGACCAGGGTGACAGTGTCCTGGACCAGGGGGTGGTGGACCATGAGGAGGGCAAGGACCCTGTGGAAAACCAAAAGGGAAATGTCAGAATTCAAAGCCAGCGCCAATGACTGTGATCAACTCTTTACCTCCCTCCCCAAGGGCCTCAGATTCCTAAGCATCTGGAAGGGTTTGTGGTGGGGAGTTGGATAGTAAAGGATTTGCTCCTGGCCCTGCCCCTTTTGCAATGAAGTCTCTTAAGAACTGGGCAAGCAAAAGGGAAGTGTCTTGTTGTTTTAGGTTTATTCCCTTTGCTACATTTTGACCTCTTTCCCTGGACCTCGAGTTATTTATTTGTAAGAAGCAAAATTATCTTATGACCCCTTCTTTGGCCCAGGGGTCCTAGCAGAAAGGCTGCAGGTTCTGCCTTGCTCCAAGTGGTAGCTTGCTTATTTACAGTTAAGGTGAAGCTGGGAGGCTGGAGAAGAATTCCCCAGACACCAGGTAGGGGAAACCCAGGCTCTGAGTAGAGATATGGCAGGTCAAAGATAAGAGGTGGAAATCAAGATGTGTTTGTGTGTAGATAGGAAGTGTATTTAGTTTATATATATGTAGCATGTGCTGGCACATGGCTTTAATCCTCTGAGGTGGCAGAGGTTGAGCTCTGTAAGTTTGAGACTAGCCTGCTCTATATAGTGAGGTTCAGCACAGACAGGGTCTGTATGCATATACAGAATGAGTCCCTGTGTTTAATTTATTTTTTTATTTTTGGCCAGTAGTGCTGGCACACAACTTTAATTTGACACTTAAGAGACTGGTGGATCTCTGTGAGCTCAAGGCCAGCCTGGTCTACATAGGGAGCTCCAGGACAGTCAAAGCTAAGTGGTGAGACCCTTTCTCAAACAATGAAAATAGATAAATGAATGAATACAATTTTGAAGGTGTGTCTTGGTATGGAGTTCAATGGTAGAGAATTTGTCCAGAAAGTACAAATCCAACTTTTTTTTTTTAAAAAAAAAAAGCAAAATAAAACAAAACAAAACACAACAAAATAGCTGTGTCAGGGTGTATTCCCCTGGTGGGCACATAGTATGCACACGTGTACACACAGATGCATGCACAGGGTGCCTATATAACGCCTCTGCACAACTGCCAGACTCAAACAGGAAGAAGTGAAATAAAGTTTATGTCCACTTCTCAGACCCAAGAGGCCCGGGAAAGTGCTGTATAAACTTTCTTAGCTGGAGACCAGCCAGGAAGGTTAGTGCTAGGGCACTGAGGTCTGGAGTCCAGTGGGTTAGAGATGGGGTTACACCCCCTATTCTGGGAGTAGGGTGATTCCCTACTCTGCTTTAACCTGCCCCCCTTCACCTCAGGGGTTTGAGCGAGGTGGAATACAGGTGGGGAGAAACAGTCTCCAGAACTGGGGACTTTCCAGTTAGAGGACTTCATGCCCCAGCTGTGATAAGAAACAGCCAGATCCCCCCCTCTTCTGTGGCAGGATACAGATTCAACCAGGGAGCTTGGTGGCTGCTGCCTGTTGGGAGGGAGAGGTGGTGAGCAGGCAGCCTTCCCTTCTTTCCCTAGCAGAAGCCTGCCTGTCCTAGAAGCCCTGCAGTGGGACTGAGGCTTGGGAGCCAACCAGCCAGCCAGGGGAGCACAGAACAGGCTGGGAAGCAGCAGGAAGAGAGGGTGAGCTGCTGGGCCAGGCGAGGGGAGTAAGGAAAGGAGAGAGATGATGGGAAAACAGAGAGAATGCCAAGGAGAAGGTTGCAGTTGGCAGGGTGTGGGTGGTTATGGCAGTACCCCGCCCTTCCCAGGCTGAAGCCTGAGTCTTCCTGACTTCATCTGGCAGAAGTGCTGGTCTAAGAATGAGGTGGACCTGAAGGAAGTGGCCAGGATGGGGGTGTTAGGGTGGGCAAGGGGAAGAAGGGTAGGGAATGTTCTTACCCAGTGACCTGTTGGAGAGAAAGGGGGAAAAGAAACAGCAGGGTCAGTCTTTTGCTTCTGAAGGGGACCCCTTGCCTTCTCCCTGATGCTAGCTCTATGTCCACACCCCACCCTCAACAAGGCTCCTCAGAACAGGTCACCTGCCTAACAAACTTTCCATCCTTCATCCGTCCACAACAGCAGATTTGTATTGGAAGTCAATATGAAGCTCACTTGTGTGTCCCTATGGGCTCAAGGGCTGACTGAGTCCCCCAGGTGGCATCAGGCCAGGTAGAAGGTGAGGCTTTTGTCCACACTGCCAGGGGTCTGCTATCCTAGCCTTGGTCAGATTTCAGGGCATCAGGGAGACATTCTATTGTGGCAAACCCCAATTCTTCCTCCTCTGTCTCCACCTGGGCCCCAGGCAGTCTCCCCCACTCATGCCTGTCCATCCCACTATAGCCCCTCAGAGCTGTGTGGTGGCTGCTGTTACATCCTGGTCACAACCTTCTGCTCTCAGCTCAGGGCCTTTGCTCACACTGTCTGCTGCCTGGAAATCTCTCTAGCATGGCTCTACCTCACTATCCAGCAGGTGTTCCACATCACTGGGGTGTGGAGATCCCCAGTGTGAACACAACAGTTCATTCTGCAGAAGCCACCTGTGTGGTACTGGGTGTCCCAAAAGGTAACCTTGATGGGAGTTCTAGTTCTATTGTATTTTTTGTGGGGAACAACAATTGTGCCTCTGGGCTGTGGACCTCAGACCTGGGGATCCAGGGCAGGGCTGCTGAGCTCGGTGCTGCAGACCTGGGCATCCAGCGCCAGGGCTGCTGAGCTTTGGGCTCCAGACCTGACAGTGCTTTTCATGACCTCACTTTGAGCATCATGCCTGACATCCGTGGCCTCATGTGTCCCCTGGGAGATGAACCCACCTTTTTGTCTCTTTATGTTGAAGAGCTAGTGAGCTGAAAAACGTGCATGCTTGTTTCTTCAACTATAATGTGTGCTTCGCAATATGAAAGTTTGTTTGCATTTTGGCACTCTGCACACACACCTGTACTCACACATGCAAGCACACTTGGCATTCAGTAGATATGGCTGACTGCTTGCCTCTGCCCTCCCCACTCTCCTTCCTCTTCTTTCCCCTCTTCTACCTCCTAGCCTCTCAGCCATGCTGCTTACCTGGATACATCTTCATGGGGCAAGTGCAGGAATTGACACACGCAACACCTGTGGTTAACAAGAACGTTTTAATTGGCAGTGATCTAGTTGCTTTGCTTCTCCCCTCCTAGGGCTGCACACACATAGTCCCTTCACAAGACAAGACCTCCCAGGCGCCCTGGTCATGATACCCCACCCTATGTAGGACTCTGTATAAACACCTGGCATAGATGCAGAGACTTGGAGAGGTCGCTCTAGCCGAGTGGGGAGGGGCAGACAACCTGATGAGTATGGGCTTCTGGGGACCCAGGAGACCATAAGAACTTTGTTCCTGCCGCCCAGATTTATGGAACATTCCAGGGTTCCCACTGCTTGTTATTGTCTCCTCCCGCCAGGATTGGGAGAGGGTGGGAGGTTTAGGGTCTGAATCAATTCGTTATCCACTGCCAGTCTCTCGTCATGGGAAACTGTTGAGGTCTAGCCTCATCTTTTGGGGCCTGGCATTCAAACAACAACTAACAGGCCCAGAACGGGCAGCATCCAAAACATGATACACTTGAAAAGGAAAGGTATCACGGCTCTCTGAACTCATATGGCAAATGAGTGTTTTAGCGCAGACTTCCACACTTACAGACAGACAGACAGACACACACACACACACACACCTCTGATACAAAAGACCTAGAACTGCAGATCAAATGCAGAACTTTGTACTTGGAAAGCAGGTTCTCTACCATTGAGCCTCCCCCCAGCCCCACCAAACCACTCATTCTTATTGATTTGTTATTTTCGGTTGAAATCAGTCCCACTTTATGACCATAGTCTTTCTCACTTGCTGATCCTTTTTTAATCTTACGTGTATAGGTGTTTTGCCTGGACTTATGTCTGAGCACCATGTTCATATGCAGTACCCACAGAGGACAGGGAGGATACCAGATATCCAAAATCCGGAGTTACATGTAGCTGGAAGACTCCTACTTTGTGGGTGCTGGGAATTGAACCCAGGTCCTCCGGAAGAGCAGGCAATGCTCTTCACTGCTGAGCCATCTCTCCAGTCCAGGTTACCCCTTTACTAATGATGAACTTGAAGGATCTCATAAGGCTGAACTTGGGGGGGGGGGTAAAGGAAACCCTTGATTCAATCCAAACCTGAACTAAAGGCAAGAGAAAAACAGCCCCTGGGATGATTTTCCGCTCAGGCTTAGCTCTCTGAGAAACAGGAATGGTCAGCTCTAGAAGGCACTGAAAATGCAAGCCTGTAACTCTCAGGTGACCTTCTACCTGGCAAGTCAGTCCTAACTCCTGCAGGGTGAAGGCACAGGGGCCAGCCTGGAGGGTGGGGTGGGCAGGTAGGCAGACATGCATACAAATACACAAGCACCTGACACAGGCACACACAATCCTTTAGAAACAGACTGACTTGTGCAGAAGGATGATGTCCTCACAAATACCCGGAGGCAGCAGTTCAATACACAAATACATAGCCAGAGAGACTAAGACCACATGGGTACCTCATTCACACACAGAGGCCCCCTCTTATTTCACCTTTAGTAAGCAAAGTCAGGTCCTTACCTGAGAATGCAGAGCCAGGGATAGCAAGGCTGAGGCTCTGTCTCCCCCAGGGGAGTATTTGTACAAGAGAGGGTGGGGCCGTGTTGGGTCACATGCTCCGGGAGATTCTAGAATAGAAGGTCCAGGGAATGAAGAGGGATGGGCTGATTTCTACCAGGGCAAAGAGCACTAGGAAATAGGATGTGGGTGCAGTGGGTGGGGAGGGGTGGGTGGAGCAGATGAGGAGAGTGGGGGTCATTCTCAGAGCCATCTGAAGGTCACGTGGACAGGTCATTAACTCCTCCCAGCACGTAGAAGAAGAAAAGTGACCCTAAGCACATTCTTGCCTTGGATTCCAAGGTCCAGATGAGTTTTTAAATTGCTACCCAGTCCAGCAAACTTGTCTGGAAACAGAATTCACACCCAGAAAAGGGGACAGTGGGAATAAAGACCGCACAGGACGGAAAGGATGAAAAAGTTCGGAACCCCTGCCGCCAGCTCACTCCGCCTGTTCCAAGCCCTTTGTAGGCTGCCTGTGTGGCCACCCCAGCACCTGTATTTGCCAAGATGATTTGCTTTGTGTGCTCCCTCAAGCAGATCTGGAGCCCCTACCTTCCGGGATCCTTTCTTCTAATTTTTCTTATTTCACTGACCTCAGTCACTTGGCCATTGACAACCCCCTGGCATTAGTAAGCATCTAGTAAATTTGATAAATGAATTATTTATTAGTTTTTTAAAAGTTTATGTGGTTCAGCAGTGGTGGCACATGCCTTCAATCCCAGCACTCAGGAGGCAGAAGCAGGCAGATCTCTGTGAGTTCAAGGCCAACCTGGTCTACAGAGCAAGTTCCAGGAAAGACATGACTACACAGAGAAACCTGCTGGAAGCAAAGACCTGTATTCAGTTATAGCCATCTTAGTCACAAATTAAGTAAGCTATTCAGAAACCCCTGTGTTATGATTTTTGGTTCCCGGCAGCTTGCGGCAGGTCCACAAACCAAGGTGGCTGGCTCAGCCATACGGTAGAGGGCTGGACCCAGCAGGCCTGGTGGTGTAAGCAGGCGGCAGGTGGGAGGCACATGGACAGACACATTGTACAGAATAGAATTGGATATTTATTAATTAAATTATGGAGGGGAAGGAAAATGGGGAAAAGGGGGTGAAAGAGAGAAAAAGAGAAAGATAGAGAGGGGGAGAGAGAAGGAAGAGAGAAAAGAGGACAGAGAGAGAAAGAAGGGGGGATCAGGAAAGGGAACAGAGAAGCCAAGATGGCGAGGGAGGGGCTACAGGGAGTGGATGTGGCTTTTCTTTTAAATTGATGAACAAGCACAACATTCACAGCTCTTTTTTATAACAAAAAATTGGAGATTGGACACCACAGGTTGACAGAATTGGGGCGGTGGATTCTCAAGACTGCTTCCAGCTTATTTGTGGGCATCATCTGGGCGGGGGGGGGGGCCTGAGAAGGCTGTTTGATGGCTGCATCCTGGCATAGCTGGTCTCTTTGCTCCTGTCCGGTGTTTGTGGTATGGAAATGTCTGGTGTCTATTATACCTGTTAAAGGTATTGGCAGAACACAGAACAAAATTAGATTTAAGGAAAAAAAAATTAGGACCAGGGAATTTAGGGGGATGTATCTGACCTGTTTAAGGTGGATTCTTTAATTCAGCTCCATGGAACTCACAAGAATTCTTTGGGTTTGTGAAAACAGAAGTTTTAGACACATACATAGTATAATGACTATACATATTTTTATAAAATGAAAAGTATTTTTAAGACTATGGAAAGCAGCATAAAAGAGAAATTTGATTGGAAATTTGTTTGGTGAGGTTTTTTTTTTCAACCTGGCAAAACCTCTCAGCTATCAAACTGTATCAGAGATCTTTGAGAAGGATAAGATTTTACTTGAGTTACTGATTAAAAAATGATAGAGAACTTACTTGGTTGGCACCCAGAGCTATTCTTTTAGGGTCCTCCATTGTCGCTGAAGGTTGCATTTGTCTTTTGCTGTTTAGCACAGGGCCTTCTAGGCTCCAGAAGATCCTGTGGGCTAGGAAATCTGTAGGAAGATAGGCCTATCTTAACCTGAGCAGCTAGGCTGTCAATTCCAGTGATTCTGTCCACTTCAGGAGATCTTCAGCTTAGATGAAAGGCAGTTTTGCCCAGTGTAGATGGATGTTGTTGTGTGTCCATTTGTCTTCTGTCTTCTTTGGAGGAAGTAGAGTGCTGCTGCTAGGAGCCAACCTGTCCCATTTTGTTATGAAAAGTTTTTTAATAATTAAATATTTAAATATCACATTCCCCAGATCTCTGAGCAGTTGAGGGCTGTTTATTAGGTATAACTACAGTATAGAATCTGTCTGGAGAGTTGGGTCTGAGCTTGACTATACTGGCTCTTAACTTAACAGGTAAGATTTACACTCATAAAAAGACAGAAAGAAAAAACTGCTTGCAATAGAAGGTTAATGGCAGAACTGACAATAGTAGAGAACATCTTAATATATTTTAAATGAGGTTTGGATTAAATATAGTTTTAAGAGACTTAAAAGTACATACCAGTTTAAAACATGAGACTTATTGATTTTGTAGTCTGAAAGGATATGTAATGAACAATTATTATACAAAGAAAGAGTGAACAGGAATTGGGCAAAGTGGATGCTCTTACTGGGCCCTACCAAAGGCATGCCACTGCGCAAAACACATGTAACAGATTCAACAAGAGGAATTTAGTGAAAACTGGGGGACAAGGCAGGGTATACTTCAGTAAAGATGGGAGAGCTTGGTCACCTGAGCTGGCTCTTAGCCAAGATGGTGGCGAAGTCACCTGACCCCGGACAAAATGGCAATAGCCACACGTTGTATGAAA